CTTCAAAGATTAAAAATATCATTATTGGAAGGTGGTCTTTTCTTCTATTCTACGAAAAGGAATTGTAGGAGCAGTGAATGTAAAATAGGACCATCTAGAGGTTGGGCTGGGCTGCTTCCCTTTCTTAATGACCGAGCTTAGTCCCCATTGACTATCTGCCTGAAAACATTTTCAACTCTTGAATTTCTTAATAATTAAACTGATTCCCAGATGAATGTGCCTGAATGTCAATAACTCCATCTTTTGTTAATGTTCATGGACTTGCTTACTTTTTATAACACAATAGGTAGTTTAGAATCATTTAACTATGTCTGCTGCTGAATATTTAGTAATGAAATAATGAATAATGGTATTAGGATTTAATTAATGGGCTATAGTTAATGGATTTAATGCTCAGCCTTCTCATATAGTTCAAAATTTTGGGTCTACCTGTGGTATATTTCTTATTTAGTAGGAAATATTAAGCACAGTGATGTTTCTTTAAGATCAGACACTATGAAAAGGGTGAGAAATATCCTGAAATACTGTTTGGATACTGTATTTTCTGTTGTTTTATTGATTGATGTTAATGGAGACAGTTGTGTAACACATTTCCTTATTGTGCCCAGAAAAACTTAGTGGCACTATGAGTAAGCTATGGGAAAACTTAGAAAGATTAAAACTATGTTTTCTACAGTTATAAGGTCAACATTTCACATAATGGAGAACTGTATCCTGTTGTTATAATTATGAAACCTTTCTTATATTTAAAATATAAATGCCATATTTGTGATTTTTACTATTTTAGCTGAAAATTGTAGGTCACTTTCCCATCCTAAAACATTAAAGGGCTTTATATATTAGTTTCATGTGTGCTATTTAAATACTGTGAATTCTTATTTTCCGGTTCTACAAAGAGACAATAATTTTAAGGAAGTCTTTTCATCCTTCATCAAAAAGTACTTATTCCGTTACTTGATATACAGATGCAGTTGTGACATAAAATTGGCAGAAAACATGCCAAGTCTTTTTTTCTTATTTTTTTTCTCATTCAGGAAGTTCTCACTTTGTCCTTAAAATAAATCTCATCTTTGAGGTTTGAAAAACAAAACCACCAACCTAGCTTTACTTCTCTCTAAAGATGCAGTTTTAAAAACAGTAGAAATAATATTTTATGAATTGAATTTAAATGTCACAGTTCAAAATCCATATGTTTATAGATAAAATTGAAAAAAATATTTTGTGGGCTTTAATTTTTATTATTTCTATTAAAATATTGCTCCAGAGAGCATATTAAAATGTCATATTGATTTTTCCTTTTTCTTTTCATCATATTGATTTTGATACGTCAAGTCTTTGTCTTAAAGGGATGTTTTAAACTATATTTAGAACTATACAAATATCAAAATGAATTTCATCAAAGACAGTGCTGGCTTTATAGCAAGTTTACTAATAATTGTGTTACCATTTTTGTCAGAAAGACGACAGTAATGAAAACCATGTTTCACCTTTTATATATATAATTGGATGAGATCACCAGATGCTGATGTTAAGAGCACATCAACAGGAAAAGTTGAAAATGGGAGCTGCATGGAAAAATAACAAAACCAATTAGCTTTGTCAAAAACCATATGACCAAGCATAGGAGAGAAAAATAGGTTTTGACCATGAGCTGACCTCAGGTAACTTAATCATGGAAAGAAACAGCAAGATGGCCCTTCTTAGAGTTTTCTTAGGCATTTGATAATAGACGAAAATACCTTGGAAATTGATACATCATATTCAGTGCTTCAAAACTCAATGTCAGCTTACTTTTATTTTTCTAATATTTTATAATGCTAATTTTGAAACACAGAAAAGTTGAAAAATTATATTGTGAACACCTGTTATGCACAACCTAGATTCTACAATTAACATTTTGGTGTATTTGCTTTACTACATAACTATGTATTCATTCTATTATCCATCCATACTCCAACTTATTATTTTAAGCATTTCAAAGTAAGTTGCATACACCAATAATTTCAGTTATGAATACTTCAGCATATATATCAACAATAGTTCAACATTTGTTTGTGGTTCTTTTTTGAGATAATATTTAGATACAGTGTACCACTAATCAGTTTGACATATGCATATACTTAAAAACCTTATTAATTGGGCTGGGGTTTTGGCTCAAGAGGTAGAGTGCTCGCCTAGCATGGGTGAGGCACTGGGTTCAATCCTCAGCACCACATAAAATAAGATATTGTGTTCACGTATAATTAAAAAATAAATATTAAAAACACCTTATTAATTAAGTAAATTAAATTAAAATTGTAACAAGGTAAAGAATATTACTGTCAGTCCACAAAGTTTCTTTGTTCCTCTTCATAGTCTAGTCCTGTCCTCATTTCCACACTTAAAAATTACCATTCTCATGATATTTTCATCATAGATTAATTAATTTAGCTTGTTCTAGAACTTAACATAAATGAAAACACACAGTATTTTTGGGGGGTTAAAGCTTTCTGTTAACAGTTTTGGTATGCATCTATATATTGTCTATATAAGTAGTTTATTTATATTGGTGAATAGTAGCCACCCTATGAATATATGCTGCAACTTATTTATCCATTCTATTGATGGATACTTGAATTATTATTACCATGGGCTATTAAAGAATAGACGGTTGTGAAAAGACTTGTGTAAATATTTTTGTGGGCATATATTTTTCTTTTGTATAATCCTAGGATTACAATTACAGGATCATAGGATAGATGTATGTTTAGCTTTGTAAGAAACTGCCAGATGTTTTCTGAAAGTGTTTATACCATTTTATATTTCCACCAAAAAAAAGTTCCAAGAAACCATCCTGAGCATCCTACCAATGCCCAATATTATGAATCTTTTTAAACTATTATGCTCATTTTTAATGCTCATTTTAATAGGAACTTACTTAAAGATACTTAGTAATCACTTTGTGAAATGTTTTTTCAATCTCTTTGCCCATTTTTAAGTTGGTATATCCATTCAAATAAATTTACATAAATCTTGAAACTTGTGCCCATTAGATAAAAAGTGAAACACACATATGACCTTATAAGTTGTTCAAAGGAAGTCTAAAAATATTTCGACAAGTTAAAATGAAAGTGTACCTAGGATCTCTTGTTATTTTGTTGAATGTTGCATTTGGATGGTAGAAAGAGGTAGCAGAAGTGTATTCTTCTCAGGTAAGGGAGTAAATGGTATACATTGGTATGGGAAAACCAACATTGCTAACATTACTTTTTTTTCTTTCCCTTATCCATGCTTCCATATCTCATCTTCTCTTCCACATGCTCTCTGATTTAGGGTTAGCTTATAGGTTTCCTGACCCCATCATTTTAGCAAGGTTTGGTCATCAAGAATTGGTTGTATACCTGAAATTCTATCTAAATTTTAAAGCCTGTTAGAGATTCTGAATAATGTATGAATTTACATTATCCCTGAGAGAACCATAAGATATGACAAAAACGATGATCTATATTAATAGACCTTCTTTCACAAATGTTTGATTTAACCCTTTGTTAAGGCAAAGGAGTGATTATTTGTTAAAATATTCTTCAGGCCCATGTTAACAGTTGATCAAGTAGAAAATATATCAAAAATTTGAGATAACATTCAGTAGCATTATGGAAGAGTAATTTTGTATGTAATATTGTTTAATTTTCAATAGAGCTTTTATATATTCTTATTTTATTAGAGAAAGCTATAGAGGAACAAATGTGTTACTGGAATCAAAGGCAAGAATCCCTCCCACCCAGAACTGAAATGGCTATTGTAGGTTGGATTTAGTGTACTCTGTAGTTTATCCTTACAGAGTGACTAAATGTAAATAGCTTTGCAAGGACTAGGAAGAACATTATTCAGTACAGATTAGAGAGGTGTGTTTGCCAAAAATCTCCACTTGTATTCATTGTGTACAAAATTTAACTGATCTTAGGAGACTTATGTCTTCTCTAAAACAGTGATCTTCATAGGAGTGTGGCATGAGAAGAATAACTCTTGGAGCTGGAGTTGTAGCTTAGTGGTAGAGTGCTTGCCTTGCATGCATGACACACTGGGTTTAATCCACAGCACCACATAAAAATAAATAAATAAATAAATAAATAAATAAACAAAATAAAGACATTGTGTCCATCTACAACTAAAAAAGAATATTAGAAAAAAAGAATAACTCATCCAGGTCTCTGTGTAAGTTTTGTTTCTGTTTAATTTATCACACATCTTTGTATGAATAACTGTGTCTCAGGATCTATTTTTTTTTTTATCTAAAGTAACCACTTCAGCCTGGAGTGATGGTGCTTGACTGTAATCCCAGCAATTCTGGAGGCTGAGGCAGAAGGATCAAAAGTTTGAGGCCAGTCTCAACAACTTAATGAGATGCTGTCTCAAAATAAAAAGGGCTAGGGATGTAGCTTAGTGGTAAAATGCCCCTGTGTTCAATCCTCAGTACCTGCCCCCCCATCACAAAGAAGAAAATAATAAAGTAACCACTTCATCTGTTTTATCTAGAGTAGCCAATCTCTCTCTCTCTCTCTCTCTCTCTCTCTCTCTCTCTCTCTCTCTCTCTCTCTCTCTCTCTCTGTTTGGTGTGAGAATTAATTTGGGAGTCTCATACATATATCTTACCTGCCTAGTGATCAGGGAAGAAAACTCTATGGAGGCCAAATATATATTTTTAATTTCTTATAAGAAAAATTTCCTTTGGCATCTGAGAGCTCTGAATTTATTTCAGCCTATTATGTCTTCTTATGTCAAAATCCTGATAAGTATACTTTTGATTTCTTTCTTTTTTTCCCAGGGCTGAGGACTAAACTCAGGGCCTTGCGCTTGCTAGACAAGCGCTCTGTCACTAAGCTAAATCCTCAACCCCTGCTTTTGATTTCTTGAGGCAGCAGTATTAAAAAATGAAGTGAGTTTACGGATCATGAATTTTGGTTGGTGAAGATCACAGACTTGATTTTTTACCCCATCCTTTACTTTTCTTATTGTTACAGAAGAAACTACTATGGAGGAAACTGGGCCAGTTTTAGCTTTTCAGGACTGTTGTCCTGGCTAAAGGAATATCAGGTAAAGTTCTTATTTGATCTTTTTTTATTTGCAAGACTGTGTTTTGTGCCATATAATAATCCACCATTGAAGAAAACTCTAGATGTCATCTAGGTAATATATAATTGATTCTTTATTTTTATTCAATTATTTTTCAAAAAACATGTTACTTGAAATCATATACTGTTGATACTATTTCCTATTTACTCTCTATGCCCAAATATAAAGCAAGATATTTACCTCCAAAATTATCTTTCACAAAAATATCCCAGTTCTTATATAACATTTCCCATATTATTAGTTGCTTTTTTTACTTAATATATTTAAAACAGAAAACAAATAGTGGGCTGGGGTTGTGGTTCACAGGTAGAGCACTTGCCTAGTATATGTGAGGCACTGGGTTTGATCCTCAGCACCACATAAAAATAAAATAAAGGTATTGTGTCTACCTGAAACTAAGAAATAAATGTTAAAAAATAATACAGCTAGTTAGGGAACATACATTGACTTGAAATGCTCTCTGTCAGTGGTGGTTTTGTATTTTCATATAAGTCATCTGACATCGGAAAAAAAAGAGGAAAATGATTTAATATAAATAAATTAAGTAATTTTTAAGGGTAGGATTTTATTACTATACCTGTTGAATGAGTGCCATTATAAAGAAATTTTTAGAGACCTCTTAACGTAAAATATGGAATTTTTAATGTTGGAGAATTTACCAATTTATATGATAGGCTTTTAAATTCCTGCTGAGAACATCTTACATGGAATCATTAACTGCTACATATCGAAAGAGTTTAGGTTGTTGGGAAAGGAGAATGATATATTCCAGAAAATGGCATTCAGTTAGCTAAGAATAACTATTAAAACTTATTGATCACCGTACTAAGCACTGTAGTTGTGTTGATTGATTTAATGGTGTACATGACTCAAAGAATATCTCATGATAACAGAGACTTTAATGTTAAAGATGCAAGATACAGTATAAATATCATTTCATGAAATAAGTAGAGAACAAATGATTGTAAAACAGTATTTCATATAATAATTCAACCTATCTATAAGTCAAGATAGTAAATGTTAGAAGTATATATTTATCTATTTTATCTATGTGCCTAAAATATTCATATGTTTAAATTGATAGGAAACCCAGTTTTGAACCTTACCTTTGGAACATGTATATGAAGCACCTTATATTAGGTGTATTTAGTATTTCCTTGAGAAGAGTTAGTTTTTGTTCTCAGAAAAACAACAAAATACCTCAGTTGTCTGGAAGTTTTTTCTTGAGTGTGTTAGTTAGGTTTTGACACTGTGACCAAAATACCTACAAGAACAACTTCTAGGAGGAAAAGTTTATGTGGATTCACGGTTTCAGAGGTTCAGTCTATGGTCAGCTGACTCCATTGCCTTGGGCCTGCGGTGAAGCAGAACATCATGGGGTAAGGGCATGGAGCAGAAAACCTAAAAGAGAGAGGGTGAAAAGGAGAAGCCAGTAAAACAAGATATAATCCCCAAGGGCACATCCCTAGCGAACTACTTCTTCCTGTTATGCCCCACCTGCTTACAGTTACTGCCCAGCTATTTCAGGGTAGAATGGACAGATTAGGTTATAACTCTCATTGTCTAATTATTTCACTATGAATATTCCTGCATTAACAGGAGCTTTTGGGAGAACACCTCATATCCAAACCATAACATTGGGAAAAGTGATTTTTGAAAGCAAAATTTAAAATCAGTTAGATTTTGTCAAATAGAAATAGTTTTGTAGAAGTACCTTTTTACTTTCAGGCTTGTTTTACTTCAGGATCTTTACTATGTCACCATGTCCTTTACCCCTTCACTCTTTCTTCTTAGTCCACTATTCTTTTTTTTAGGTTGGAATCTCATGTCAACCAGCTAATATTCTTCTGTTTCACCTCCTCTTATACTTCTGTCAGGATGTTTAATACCATTGAATATCATTCTTGATAATAAAGCCTTAATGCTATTATTTTTCTTTAATTTTAATATATGAAATTCAAGAGAGTGAAACCTTTGAAAAAGAATTATTGCCCTACTTTATAATTTTAAGGTTAGAAATTTTCTGTGGAGAATTTACTTAACAGAAATGATAATATTGTATTTTGAGTATACATAATGCATTTACAAAGTTTTCTCAGTGAAAGGTATGTATCAAGTAGTTTAAAAATTTAAACTTGGGGCTGGGATTATGTCTCAGCAGTAGAGCTCTTACCTAGCAGGTGCAAGGCCCTGGGTTCGATTCCCAGCACCACATAAAATAAATATATAAAAAATTTAAACTGATTAATAATTGAACCTTTATATTTGGAAAAAGTTTATGCTGATATCTTTGCAAATACCCTGTATGTAAATATTGGGAAAAATTAAATTTCACGAAATTTTCTTCACTCAGTATAATTAGTAATTGCTGAAAATTTTTGAAGGACTACTTTCAACCCTTGTAGTTTACATTCTTTAAATATATTCTGAATATAAAATATTCAAGGAATGGGTATTGTAAAAATTTTAGTTATACTGTGCTGTCTTTCAAAAACACTTTATATGCATTCAAAATAGAAAGTAGTGGTGAGCAGTCTTCAGAGATCTGAAAGTAAATAGAGTAAGGAAGTCATTTTTGACCCTGGTGTTTTGATAGCTAAATATAAATATAAAATATATAAATTTAAATATAAAATATATAAATATATAAATATAAATATAAAATAACAACAGACAAAAAGCCGTTAAGTAATTTATATAGTAGATGTTTGATTCTCAGCAAGTAGGTTACTTTTGCTAATTCTTAAGCAGCATCAAAATAGCTATTTCCAGAAGACTGTATCAAATGTCATATGCCCTGATAGAAATTTTATGTACCAAAGCTAGGTTTTGGTAGCATAACTTTTACACTGTGTTTTCTTCTCCTTCCTTTGAATTTGGCACCCTCTTTTGGAGTCATTTCAATGATGCTGAAGTGATGATGTCCTTGGAATTTCAATGTGATGAAAGGAAAAGTATGAATTTAGAAAAGGTACACATTTTCTCAGAAAATTACAGGTTCCAATTGCTCAATTTAATTAAAACTTCTCATGTGTTTTGCTTAGGAAAACAATGACATTGTGATTGATAGTTCGCTGTGGCAAGAACAAATCCTTGAAAATGAAGAAGCCATTGCCCTTAGCAGGAAGGACAAAACTATTCAACACGTGGAAGTATTTTGTTATGCCAGGTATGGAAAATAATTATTTAGATAACTAACAGTAACGACTTCTTTTTCAAACTTCTTCATATGAAGCCAATAATAAAGTTTTAAATGACATTGGTTGCTCCAAGTCAAGTTGATATGTTGGTTTTGCTTGTTCTTAAGTCTGTTAGTTTTTTTTTTTCTATTTAGGAACTAGTAATGCCATCTTTCTTTATTGGACTACAATTTACCAAACTCTTTTAAATATATTATCTCCTATGATCTTTACAGAAGTCTTGCAATAGAATAGTTTCATTTTTTAAGAAAATCTGCAAAGGAACTCAGAGATTAAGTAATTTACCAAAAGTCATATGGTGTGGCAAATGGCAAGGCCACAAACCTAAACTAGAAGAGTGATAGAGCCTGAAATTAAACTTCAGGGTTCTTTACTCCTGCTCCAGTGTTTGTCCAACTAGATCATTCTTCTAGTATAACATTCTATGTAGCAAAATTGCAAGATTATAATTTTGATTTAGTTAAGTTCAGTGGTTGTAGCATTTGGATACATATTTTTATAAATTACAGTAAAATAGTGGGAATTATAAATGTTCAGAGTATTCCCTCCAAGTGAAAGATTCATTGTTTTACAACAATTGGAATAGATTCTTTTTCTTTTTTGGTATTGGGGCTTGAACCCAGGGAGGGTTTACCACTGATTTATATTCCCAGTCCTTTTTATTTTTTTATTTTGAGACAGGATCTCAGTAAGTTGCTTAGGGCCTTGCTGAGTTGCTGAGGCTGGTCTCAAACTTGTGATCCTCCTGCCTCAGTCTCCTGAATCCCTGGGCTTACAGGTATGCACCACCTGACTTTTTTTTTTTTTCAAGTGATATGTGGTCAACAAGCTGAAAGGTTTAGTGCATCAGCTGTTAGGCACTTTAATAGTAATTAGGTCTTACAGTGCATTTCATCAGAGATTTTTCAGGATATGCTTTGTCATGTTACTCATTCTTGTTATGCCAGAGTGAGCCTGTGAAATGTTTGGTAACTGGTGCTTGATTTTTTTAACCTATTTTCATGTCTTTCAGGTAATTGGAAATTTCCTCATAAATACACAGTTAATGTTCTATGATTTTCTGTAAAAGATCTGCCTTTGAAACATGAGATAAAGATTATAATTACATAATCCTAAATGTAATTTAGTATTAAAAGGTACAGCTTACTGACATTGTCCAAATCCAGTATAGGAAGATTTATGAGGAAGGTGATTTCAACTGAAAAGTTATATTCTTATAATAAGTAGGAGTAAATATTTGGTAATTTTATTGTGTGATATTTTGTGCCCATGAGTATTACTTGACTATTTCATAGAATCATACTGTAGCCCTCTTAAAGGTACTTTTTGATACTTCAAGGCTTTTGATTTCTCTACCTGACATTTAAGGTTAATAGTTTCTGATTACTGACTAGATAACGTTTTGAGTTCAAAGGAAATCATCTCATTTTCTGTTGCTCATATGTTCAATTTCATTTTTAGAACTTCTCAAAGTGAGAAATAGAAAATTAGATTATAAAGTTTGCCTTAAAATAGCCAAATAGGACTCTGTTTTGTGCTCTTCTGATTGCCAATTAAAATATGGAACAAGAGGTAAACACAAATAATGTTCCATGTCTTCATTCACTGGAGCAGGAAGAGCCTTGAGAACAGCCAGAAGTGGAGGACTATACAGAAAATCCAGTTATATATAGTTAGTGCTTAATGACATGAGCAAATAGGAATTAAAGTGCCTCACTCAGTCCCATATTGCCAGGTGAAAAGGGGCTAGGGGCCAAATCAACTGTCAGATTTACTTTATATGAGAAGTTATAACTCAGAAACCATTGACTTAAATCTAAATCTTTATTTAATATATATTTCTAACAACCTTGTTTCCTTTTTTCCCCTACTGTAGTAGTTTAAATCTACAAATAGGAAAAAGGCTATTTGCTAGAGACAGACATACCGAGACCAGGGGTATAGTCCTGCCTTTCCCATTCAACTTACTATGTGATACTCAGCAAGAGATGCTTTCACTTTGGGTCTAAAATATGAAAGGTTTGGACTAAGTAATCTCAAAAATATTTTTCAAATCTAAGTGCTACTGTTTCAGGTGCTAAGTAATAGACTAACATAAGTGAAGACAGCATCATCAATCTGAGAGCAAACTGTGGGCCATTTTGTATAGGAATAAATGGATTTTCATACCAGAAGATCCCTTTAAGCCCATCACCATATTATAACACAGTATAACAATTGATGATCATAATTCTATCCCAGTGTCTTCAGGCAAGTTAAAATAATATTGTCATTCCTACACTTGAAAAAGTATGGAAATTTGAAGTATGTTTTAGAAAGAATATTAAAATGGTTAGAAAAAATTATCATTTTAAGGGACAAGCTTTATTTATCTAGAAAATTTTCTTATTTTCCCGTGAGTAAGTAAGGGTATCACTAAATAGTAGATTTTTGGCATTTTTGAGGGACACATCATAAAAATCTTCATGAATACTCTTTTGTAAACTGTGAAAAGTATTACACAAGTTCCTGACTGTTTTTGTTGGTCTTTTCCATATCTGTTATTGATGTTACATTCTGTGCATGTAGAGTTTGTGTGTATTTAGTTCTATACTATTTTATCACATGCATTCATGTATCCACCACCACAGCCACTACAGAACAGAATGGTTCCATTACCACAAGGATTCTTCCTATTGCTTTTTTGTCATCATACCTTATTTTCCCTCCACCAAATCCCTAACCCATGGCATCCACTAATCTGTTTCCTAGCCTTGCCATTTTGAGAATGCTATATAAATGATACATAGCATGATATATAGCCTTTTGTCCTTGGCTTTTTTTTTTTATTCAGCATAATTCTCTAGTAATTCATCCATATTATTGTGTACATTGATCATTTGCTCAGTTTTTCTTGTGGAGTAGTATTCCATGGTTTGGAGTTATGAATGTAAGTTGTTTAATGATTTACCCATTAAAAAATCTGGAGTGTTTCCAGGTTTTGACTGATTAAAAAAAGAGCTGCAATGCAATTTCACATAAAAGAATTTTGTGAACATCTGAGATAAATGTTTTCCTTGAGTTAAAAGTTTTCCTTTCTCTCTTATAAACATCCAAGTGTACAATTGCTGGGTCATATGATAATTGCATATTTAGTTTTAAAAAATGCTACCAAACTGTTTTCCAGAAGAATTATACCATTTTACATTCCCACGAAAATATGAATAATCCAATTTCTCCACATTTTTACCTGAATTTATTGTTTTTACTTTCTTATTTTAGCCATTTTGATAGGTGTTTAGTGATACCAGTTTGTGGTTTTAATATACATTTCTCTAATATGATTAATTTTAAATAGCTTTTCATATGCCTGTTTGCCATCGTTTATCTTTTTTGTGAAATGTCTACTCAGGTATCTTGCTTTTTAAAAATTAAACTCTTGTTTTTTGCTTTTGTTTTCAAAGTTCTCTATTCTAGATATGTATCCTTTGTCAGATATTGGTTTGATAATTTACCCCCAGGTCTGTATCTTATCTTTTTATGCTCTTCAGATAGTATAGGTTGCAGAGAATATTTTTAATTTTGAAGAGGTCCAACTTAACATTTTTTTCTTTTGTGGATTATGGTTTTTGTGTATAGTCTGAGAATTTTGAACTGTAAACCTAGAAGATTTTTCCTATTTAAAAATGTTATAGATTTATATTGTACACTTAATTCTATGATTCACTTCATGTTAATTTTGTATAAGGTGTAAATTTTAGGTTGATGTGTTTTTTCCCCTCCCAAACTAAGGACACTCAATTGCTTCATCAACATTTGTTGAATGGCTGTTCTTTCACCATTGAATTACTTATTTTACCTGTCAAAAATTAGATAGATTGTACTTGGATGCATGTACTCTTGCATTGATCTGTATGTCTTCCCCCACCAATACTACACTGTCATAATTACTGAAGCTATATAATAGGTCTTAATACCAGGTAGAATGATTCCTCCCAATTTATTTTTCTTTGACAAGATTGTTTTAACTAGAGTTTATGCATTTCCATATTAATGCTTTAATAAGTTTGCCCATGTATTAAAAAGCATTGCTAGAAATTTGATAGAAATTGCATTAACTATGCAGATCAGATCAGGGAGAATTGATATCTTTATTACTCTGAGTCTTCTATTCTTTGAACAGTATATGTATCTACATTTCTGGTATTCATTTTAAATTTTTTTTTATTTAGTTGTTGGTAGACACAATATCTTTATTTATTTTTATATGGTGTTGATCAATCCCAGTGCCTCACATGTGCTAGGCACATACTCTATTACTGAGCAACAACCCCAGTCCCTGGTGGTCATTTTTTTCCTCCAAAAAATCATTTTAATTTTTAGCATACTAATCTGGGACATGTTTTGATAACTGTATCCTTAAGTATTTGATTTTCTTTGGAACAATTGTAAATAGTATTAACATTTTATTTTTTTGTGGATCATTGTTGTTAGTACTTAGAAATGCAGTAGATATTAATATGTTGATCTGGAATGTGCCCTAAAATTTTGCTGAATGTACTTATTAGATATTTTTTTTCCCCAGAATCTATTTTCTGTTGAAAGTCATGTATTTTCTACCTAGAGCCACATACCACAGGTTAATTATGTTTTCTACTTAATACTTAAGCTCACTTATGAGCTTCTTTTTCCCCCAGAAGGATATTATTTTCACTTCCTGAGGACTTTGTAATTATTCACTAATGTTGGCCAATCTTTAAGGTCTCTCACTTACTAACTGTATTTTTCCTATGTTCTTTCATAGGAAAAACCCCAAATCAGAAAGACTTATTTTCTCAAGCATTTCAGATAAGTGATATTCAACTTTTAAAGAGAAGTCAAACTTAAATTCTTGTTGCACTATAAATATGGGATATTATTTTAAATGATTTTGAAAACTTCCAAAATGTAAAGACAATTTGTAATGATAAGAAGGTTGAAATACTATAAC